CCCAAGTGACTGTGGCTGAGATAAAGGATTATGTCTAAAAAAAATACCAGGGCTTGAACTTCAGAGGAATCGAGGGCCACTGTCTTGATGCCCAATGAGTTTGCCTTGGTGCCATTTCAATATTTTCTACACGTATTTCTATATTCTAAGGCCATTTTTATAAAATACTGCCCCCTAAAGTTCAAGCCCTGGAATTATCATTGGTGAAGAGAAAAAAATTAAAAAAACAACTGATTAAAGGGCTGTGGTCATGCAGCGCATGTTCAAATTTCGTGTAAACAATGTATTTTACATGCATTATGTACTTTCTATGAGTTAATGTCATTCAGACTGCTGCTCTTTAATGTTGAAGAATTAGGAGAAATTGAAAATAACACTAACATTTTTACCGAAATAATTCCTTTATTATACTATTGTCATTTGCAACTCCAATCCTAAGATATAGACTTGGCAGGGGTATTGGCAGACAATCTCTATTCTATTTGAACTTACAAATGGGTGCAACAGTGGTCATTGGTTTGATACTGTACCTTTTCCATAATGTGCATAGTGACAAATATTGATGAAAGAAATGCTAGCATGGTTGTGTAATCGTTTATAATTTAGTAAATATAAAATATTGACTGGCAATGCGGGCAATAGCATACGTCTATTTACCCCTAAGGGATTTCAAGTCTCCCAAAAAATTAGTATTTTATGAGGCCATAGTTTGTTGTCTATTCCCAAAGTGATATCATGTATGAGAGACAGTGTAATTCTTTATAACCCTGTGTGACAACATATTGGCCAATCATGACACAGAATCTGGATATAGTGTTATAACTCGAAATATTTTTTATTGATAGACGAATATAGATCAAAGCAATATAAATACTTACACTTGTTTGTGATGTCACATAAGCGATCAACACATTGCCTGCTGATACAGGCTATGCATTGAAGATTTCAACATGCAGTGTGTTAATTGCTAGAGGGGAGTGGTCAGATTTCTTATAAACAAACGTACTTGTATTGAACATGACATGTTGCAACCACCACCCTTTAAATGTTTCTATTCCAAAACCTTGTGAGAATGTCATGTCGTAAATCTGAACATTTCCTTAAAGATTACAATTTACAAAAATCAGTGAGTGGATGATTTGTACTTGTAATACAAAAACACTAAATTGTTTCTGTAATAAAGTTAATTATAGAAAAGATATATTGGCTGACAATTTTATTTTTATACTCCCTCCCCTCTTGACACAAATCATGAACTATAGATCTATAGAACAAACCACAATTGCCCACTTGTACATAATTCTAATAACATTTATAGTCTCTATTATAAGTGGTGTTACTAAGTTGCATCTTTTAGGGTTAGTGGTGCAAATGACTAAATAATGCAATGTTTCAATTAGTCAACATAATCCAAAATAATGTAAAGTTTCAATTAGTCAACATCAACCAAATACTTAATAGTGTATTGTTTCAATTGGTCAACGCCAGCCAAATAATGTAGTGTTTCAATTAGTCAACATCAACCAAATAATGTGATGTTTCAATTCGTCAACATCACCCAAATCATGTAGTGTTTCAATTAGTCAGCACTGCCCAAATAATGCAGTGTTTCAATTAGTCAACACTACCCAAATAATGCAATGTTTCAATTAGTCAACACTACCCAAATAATGTAGTGTTTCAATTAGTCAGCACTACCCAAATAATGTAATGTTTCAATTGGTCAAAACCAACCAAATAATGTAATGTTTCAGTTAGTCAACACTACCCAAATGTAATGTTTTAGTTAGTCAACATCAACCAAATAATGCAGTGTTTCAATTAGTCAACATCAACCAAATAATGTATTGTTTCAATTAGTCAACACTACCCAAATAATGTAGTGTTTCAATTAGTCAACACTACCCAAATAATGTAGTGTTCCAATTAGTCAACACTACCCAAATAATGTATTGTTTCAATTAGTCAACATCAACCAAATAATGTTGTGTTTCAATTAGTCCACACTACCCAAATAATGTAATATTACAATTAGTCAACACTACCCAAATAATGTAGTGTCTCAATTAGTCAACACCAACCAAATAATGTAATGTTTCAGTTAGTCAACACTACCCAAATAATGTAATGTTTCAATTAGTCAACATCAACTAAATAATGTAATGTTTCAATTAGTCAACATCAACCAAATAATGTTGTTTCAATTAGTCAACATCAACCAAATAATGTAGTGTTTCAATTAGTCAACATCAACCAAATAATGCAGTGTTTCAATTAGTCAACACTACCCATATAATGTAATGTTTCAATTAGTCAAAACCAACCAAATAATGTAATGTTTCAGTTAGTCAACACTACCCAAATGTAATGTTTTAGTTAGTCAACATCAACCAAATAATGCAGTGTTTCAATTAGTCAACATCAACCAAATAATGTATTGTTTCAATTAGTCAACATCAACCAAATAATGTATTGTTTCAATTAGTCAACATCAACCAAATAATGTAATGTTTCAATTAGTCAACATCAACCAAATAATGTTGTTTCAATTAGTCAACACTACCCAAATAATGTATTGTTTCAATTAGTCAACATCAACCAAATAATGTATTGTTTCAATTAGTCAACATCAACCAAATAATGTTGTTTCAATTAGTCCACACTACCCAAATAATGTAGTGTTTCAATTAGTCAACATAAACCAAGTAATGTAGTGTTTCAATTAGTCAACACTACCCAAATAATGTAGTGTTTCAAGTAGTCAACATCAACCAAATAATGCAGCGCTTCAATTAGTCAGCACTACCCAAATAATGTAATATTACAATTAGTCAACACTACCCAAATAATGTAGTGTCTCAATTAGTCAACACCAGCCAAATAATGTAATGTTTCAATTTGTCAACACTACCCAAAAAATGTAATGTTTTAATTAGTCAACATCAACCAAATAATGTATTGTTTCAATTAGTCAATATCAATCAAATAATGCAATGTTCCAATTAGTCAAAACTACCCAACAAATGTAGTGTTTTAATTAGTCAACATCAACTTGTTTCAATTAGTCAACACTATCCAAATAATGTAGTGATTCAATTAATCAACATCAACTAAATAATGTAATGTTTCAATTAGTCAACATCAACCAAATAATGTTGTTTCAATTAGTCAACATCAACCAAATAATGCAGTGTTTCAATTAGTCAACACTACCTAAATAATACAGTGTTTCAATTAGTAAACACTACCCAAATAATGCAATGTTACAACTAGTCAACATCAACCAAATAATGTATTGTTTCAGTTAGTCAACATTAACCAAATAATGCATTGTTTCAATTAGTCAACACTACCCAAATAACGTAGTGTTTCAATTAGTCAACACTATCCAAATAATGTAGGTGTTTCAATTAGTC